ATTTCTCTACGGAGACTTAGAGGAAAATGTTTACATGGCACAACCGAAAGGTTTTGTCATGGAAGGAAAAGAACGTTTGGGATGCCGCCTAAAGAAATCTATTTATGGATTAAATCAAGCTTCAAGACAGTGGTACTTGAAGTTTGATCAGACAATAAAGAATTTTGGGTTTAAAGATAATGTTGAGGACAATTGTGTCTACGCAAAGTTTAAGAATGGGAAGTTTATCTTCCTTGTCCTGTATGTGGATGATATCTTACTTGCTAGTAGTGATGTCAGTCTACTACTGGAAACAAAGAAGTTTTTGTCCTCAAAATTTGATATGAAAGATCTTGGTGAAGCTTCGTTCGTTCTAGGGATCGAGATTCACCGAGATAGAAGTAAAAGGGTATTAGGATCGTCACAAAAAGCATACATAGAAAAAGTCTTAAAGAAATTTCAGATGCATAAATGTAGTCCCTCACCGCTCCTATAGTCAAGGGCGACAGAGATATAGGGATTTTCAATGCCCCTGGAGAACCAATATGAGATCGATCAAATGAAAGTGGTTCCATATGCTTCAAATTGTCGGAAGCTTGCAATATGCTCAAGTATGCACACGCATACGACTTGGCATTTGTTACCGGTTACTTGGCGATTCCGAGCAACTCGGAATAGAACACTGGAAATTGGTAAAGAAAGTCTTGCGTTATTTGCAAGGAACGAAAGACCTCATGATGACGTATAGAAGATCTGATTCACTCCATATAGTGGCATATTCAGATTCTGATTATACGGGAGATAATAGAAAATCCACGTCTGGATATGTGTTCACTCTCGCAGGGGGAGCTATTTCATGGAAAAGCTCAAAGCAAACCGTCACTACATCGTCCACAATGTATGCCGAGTTTGTAGCGTGTTATGAGGCAACGGGGCAGGTGAACTGGCTAAAGAAGTTCATACCCGGTTTGAAGGTGGTTGACGACATCAATAGACCACTAAAGTTATACTGCGATAATAATCCAGCAGTATAGTATGCTCACAACAATAGGTCAAGTGGTGCTGCCAAACACATTGACATAAAGTATTATGTTGTGAAGGATAAAGTCCGGGATCAAATGATAAGTCTTGAGCATATAAGTACCAAAAAGATGCTCGCGGATCCGCTTACAAAAGGCTTACCACCCAACGTGTTCAGAGAACATGTAGCCGTCATGGGTTTAAGGGAAAGCCTATGACTCCTGGACTATAAAGGGCCCAAAAGTTAAAGTAACTATTTCAGATCAGAGACGTGCATTGTAGCTGTTAAATCTATCGGCGATTGACCGTGACGATGAAACATGCTCTATGCATCATCTGTGAAGAAATGAGTAAGGATAAAAGGATTGAAGTTTAAAGTTTAAAGATAAAAGTAATAGTGTGAGATCAAGGGGGAGAATGTTAGATTGATCTCCCAGCCAATAAGCCCAATGACCTATTAGGCCTTGGTCACGCGCCCTGATCGGGGACGCCCAACCCTATATGGTTGGTGGGCCCCCGTCGCACTGCGCTATATAAAGTGGTGGGGGCCGGCGGCTCGAGGTACAAGGTTCACCGTGAGCCAATCCGCCCCACCAACAAACCCTAAGTCCGATCTAGCAAGGGTGCGCAGCCAGCGACGGGAAGACGCCACCGTCATCACCGTCGGCTTCACTGCACATCACCCCGTCGCCGGACTTCACCGACTCTTCCCCGACCGTCGCTGCCCGTGCGCAGCCTACACCAGCGAACCTGATGGAGGCCACTGGAGCTTCCACCCCTGCGGGCTCAGGTTTGGTACCCTTTCTCCTTCTCTCCCTGTCTCTCTCTAGACTGTTCTAGATGTATTAGGATCTACCGTTTTACATGTTATACCGAATAGGACAGTCAAAGGCTAGATCTATGATCCAACAGTTTTAACACATCGATGCCAACATGGCTCTCTCAGTCTCCAACTGTAATTGATTCCAGACATGTCTGACGGTCTTGCATTTGAAAAAGAGATGTCCTCCATCTTCGTCGAACGGCTCGCAGACCGGGCACTTTGGATCAATTCGCATGCCCCTACGGATCAGGTTTGATCTCAATGGATGACTATTCTATACAAGGCTCAGCTAAAGCACAATCCTGAATTGGAAAACACACTCTAGAAATAGCTCAGGACTTATTGGTCAAGAAATTGGGAGATCTTTCTCCAGTGCCTCAGGCCACAAATATTCCTAATATTGATTCGTTCTCGCAGCACTTCGACCAGCCACTAACCCAGAACATAATGGAGGCCCTTCAGGTTCTGGTGGAGCACGGAGCCAAGAAGATGAAGAAGGGGGCTGACCCCAAGAAGCAAGGACCAGCAACAAGCATGGAGGTGGCCTGAGGCGCCTCAGCCTCGGGATGCAGTAGGGGGTGTTTTCCAAATGACACCACTTGCTAGCTGCAACACCTGGGCATCGGTGGTGTCCCAGGTTTTAATTGTCATTTTAGTTTGGGCCCTGCGAGGCTGTCAAGGGGCCTACGTGCCCATGTCATGCAGATCATCAGAACCAACTAGGAATGTGGATGGGTCGATCATTGCAAGGATCATTCAGTGTCTTGACCGACAAGGGAGACTACTGCCTGCTAGCTCTTTCGCTTGTGGCAAACCCTCTTTGGTTCTAATTCGGATATTCGGGACCTGCTGGCCAGGCTACCTTCGGTCTATGTATGTCAGGAACTCGGACCTCGCACTAGTTGCAATTGGTGGTTAATGTCGCAGAAAAATTGCACCATCTTATGCTGGAATGTCAGAGGCCTCAATGATGAGGTGAAGCGAGCAAGTGTGCACAATCTCATCAGCGCATCCAGTGCGACTATTGTGTGCCTGCAGAAAACCAAGATTGAAAACTGGACTCAGAGTCTCCTGGTAGAAACCGTAGGTCCTGAGTTGGCTAGGAATTGTAACTTTCTTCCGTCGATAGGACTGGAGTGTATGGGCCGCAAGCTGACCAAGAAAAGATCGCGTTCTTGCAAGAAATTTCAGACCTCAGGCAACACATGAGGGCAGCGTGGCTCATCATAGGAGACTTTAACCTCATTTATAGAGCTGAAGATAAAAACAACGATAGGGTAAACATCCGGATGCTCAACAGATTCAAGAATACAATAGAAATTTGTAGCTTGCGCCACTGGAGTTGAAAGGAAGGCGTTTCACATGGTGCAACGACCAATAAAACCCGACGATGACGAAAATGATCATTTCCTAGCATCAACTGATTGGTTGGAAATCTTCCCAAGAACAGACCTCCAGGCTTTAGCATCACTGGGTTCCGATCATTGCCCATTATTCCTTCAGGGAGATACGGAGTGTGACTTCTACCGAGGCTTCCGTTTCGAGGCACATTGGATAAATATGCCGGGTTTTACTCAAACGGTCCAGACTGCGTGGGAGCAAATTCTCAGGACCCGATGCTGTGTATGCATGTCAAACTGCTACGCACAGCGAGAGCGCTTAAAATATGGAGGCAAACACAATTCAGTGATTGGAAACTAAGAGACGCCATTCTTCACTTGATACTATTAGAATTAGAGAATACCTGAAGGTTAAATCTTTAGGCTTGGCTGCCATTCAAAAAGCAAGAGCTAGACAACACTCCCGGCTCACTTGGATTAGAAAAGGGGATTCAAACACTAGGTTTTTTCAGCTACACGCTAACGCTAGGCGAAAGAAAAGTTACATAAGCACAATCCAAAGTGAGGAGGGGCTTGCCGTCACTCAGCAGGATAAAACTAAAATCGCTCTAGAGTTCTTTTCCAAGGCTGTCGGTAGTAGAATGCCGAGACAACGGGCAATTAATTGGGAGCAGCTGGGCTATTCACCGCACAACCTCGAGGATGGGCCTAGGAAAGTAGGACTAGTTCCAGGAGGAGGAGGCCCAACATTATAAATTTGGAATACATTTTCACAATAAACTTTATTGGAGAGAAAATATGTACTAACATTCACTAACATTATAAATTTGGAATACATTTTCGCAATAAATTTGGCAAGGACTAACATTTATGATACAAAATAAGTACCATTAGATTAATGATGGAATACATTTTCATAGTAAACTTGATTGGAGACACAAATGTTAATACTATTCATTATAAATTTAGTCAAACTTAAATTAGTTTGACTGGCACAAACCCTATACTTACATTCTTTTATGGACTGAGGGAGTATCAGGTAAGTCTAGTTAAAGTCCACATACCTTCGTTATGTTCCATTTTACCATTTATACTAGAAGCAGCTAAATCATCAAGAATTGAAGAAACATCACTATCATCTGAAATGAATGGAAAAAAATACATGAAAAAAATTAGTAGCGACTAATCTCTGAACAGGACAAACAAATATGCAGCACTGAGAGGTATAACAATCACAATTACCTTTCCTTGGTGCTAATATCCAATTCTTGATGCAAATAAGTGCCTCAAGCAAAAAGGTTTCATCAAGAGTTCGGACCCAAAATATTATTTATATATATTTGCAAAAAAGTTTAATGCAGAGTTTGGAGTGAAAAAAATAATTCTTTCTAGTGCAAAAAGTTTCAAATAAAAAAGTTGAATATATAAAAAGGTTGTTCCATTATAGGTTGGGGTTAGATCACAATTAGGGAAGTAGTTGCAAGAAGCTCAACGTTGGTGACATGAAGCACAAATTGATGACGACGCCATGTAGATAAGGTGGTCCACTCACAAGTCACAACTCGGTCAACAAGAACAAACTTAGACTAAACGCATGGCTCAAAACGAGCATTTTTTTATGTATTAATATATAATAAAATCTCCTCCCAGCATGTTAAACAATTTCGTCATAAGATTAAAAAATCGCACTTGAGTGGTACAACTAAAGCCAGGCCCACTAGTCGCCATGTGCATGTGCTGCACGGGCACTTTGCTATTCGTTCTGCAAGTAAACCATCGGCACAGCACAGGGAACCAGACCTGCTGGGCTCTGCTCCTACCGTGAATTTCCAACGACGATGAAGCAGGGGATCCATGGAAGCGACAACACCTCACCACTCCACTCCAAGGTGTCTGCCGGCAAATCTGAAACCCTCCCCGGCGGCGACCCAACCCACCTCCCAATCACTGGCGTGGCTGGCACCGGCAGCGGCAGCGGCAGCGGCCATGCGAGGGGTCGGAACAAGCTGACCCTTTTCCCCCTCATCTTCCTCATCTTCTTCGAGGTCGCCGGCGGGCCATACGGCGCCGAGCCGGCGGTGCAGGCCGGCGGGCCCCTCCTCGCACTCATCGGATTCTTCGTGTTCCCATTCGTGTGGGCCGTCCCGGAGGCCCTCGTCACCGCCGAGCTGTCGACGGCGATGCCTGGCAACGGCGGGTACGTGGTGTGGGTGGACCGCGCGTTCGGCCCGTTCGCGGGGTTCCTTATGGGCACGTGGAAGTATGTCTGCAGTGCCATCGGCGCCGCGGCCTTCCCGGCGCTGTGCTCCGACTACCTCACGCGCGTGGCGCCCGCCGTGTCCCGCGGCGGCGCCAGGGTCGCGACGATCGTCACGTTCAACGTCGCCCTGACGCTGCTCAACTACACGGGGCTGAGCGTCGTCGGCTGGACGGCCGTGGCGCTGGGCCTCGCGGCGCTGTCGCCGTTCCTGCTGATGGTCGGCGCCGCGCTGCCCAAGGTCCGGCCGCGGCGGTGGGGGGCCACCGCCGGAGATAAGGACTGGAAGCTGTTGCTGAACACGCTGTTCTGGAACCTGAACGGCTGGGACAGCGTGAGCACGATGGCCGGCGAGGTGGACCGACCCGGGAGGACGTTCCCCGCGGCCCTGGTGACGGCCGTGTGCATCGGGTCTCTCGGGTACGTGCTGCCTCTCATGGCGGCCACCGGCGCCATCGATGCGCCGCCGGAGGCATGGGGAGACGGCTACTTCGCCGACGCTGCAGGTGCGCACGTCACTAGTGTTTGAATGTTCTCAATGTTTCTGTCGCGTTGTTAGCGCGCGTCACGTCAAGATTAGATTCACTCATGGACCCAAAGACCAAGCGAGACAACTGACAAGTAGCAACAGCCAACAGGGACAGCTTGACAAACTTGCCCGGCCGGCCGGCTTCCGATTGAATAATTGCTGCACGCCGTTCACTCCGTCCATGAACAGGACAGTGGCCTATGGTCATATCGTGACAAGACGATACCGAATGATGCTGCTACATACAGTACACATGGTAGGATTACTGAACTTTGGTAGTTGGTTCCGTGCACTCAACGCAGGTCTGATCGCCGGCAAGTGGCTCAAGTACTGGACGGAGGTGGGCGCCGTGGTCTCCTCCATCGGCCTCTACTCGTCGTCGGTGAGCAGCGCGGCGTACCTCCTGGCGGGCATGGCGGACCTCGGGCACATCCCGTCCTTGTTCGCCGCACGCGCCCCCGCGTTCGACACCCCCTGGGCCAGCATCACCGTCACGGGCGCCATCGCGCTGGGCATGTCGTTCCTGAGCTTCGACAGCATCGTGGCGGTCACCAACTTCCTGTACAGCCTCGGGATGCTCCTCGAGTTCGCGGCCTTCGTCTGGCTCCGCGCCAAGCGCCCGGACCTGCCGCGGCCCTACTGCGTGCCCATGGGCACCGCGGGCGTGGGCGTGATGTGCGCCGTGCCGTCGGCGTTCCTGGTGCTCGTCACGGCCGTCGCCGGGTGGAAGGTGTGCGTGGCCAGCGCGGTCTTCACGGGCGCCGGCGTCGTGGTGTATTACGTCATGGCGTTCTTCAAGGCAAGGGGATGTTTCAAGTTTGGCCGTGCAGAGGGAGGAGAATACGAAGCTCGCTAACACTCTGAATTGTGATAACAGAAATCCCTCGCTCGCGGTGCACTGCAAGGTTGCCCTGGTATCTGCGCCCAATTCTTCTCTTCTAAGGTCTTGTTTGGATGAGCACGTGTTTATCTTAATCCATATGTGTTGAAGTGGATTATAGTGGAATTAAACTAAATTCTATTTCATTCCACTTCAACACATATGGATTGAAGTAGATACACATGCATCCAAACAAGGCCTAAAGGAAACAAGACGAGCCCGTTTGAGTATTTCGGACCCGTTTGGTACAACTTTGTTTTAATAGTGGATCAATTTTTTTCAGCTGTAGGAGCAGCTCAACCGATGTAGCTGAAAATGTTTTGGTAAACGTTTGGTAAAATAATTTCTCATCGTAGATAGAAAAAGGGAAATGACTGTAACGCCCTTATCTTCCTTTTTCTTTATTGCTACGTATCTTTCATCCTGTCATATTTGTTTTTTCTCCTCCCTCTTCTTATCCTCTCATTCGTTCCAATCGGCGCCTCCGCCCCGCCCAGTGCTTGCGTGGGCTCCGGCAGCTCGGCCCCGCTCCTTATCTCGCCTCTGCCCTAACACAGCACCCACCTCTGCCTTGCCACCGGCGTCCGCGCTTGCCTCCGCCTCCTCGTGCAGCTGTGCCCTGGCCCCGCCTCCTTCCCTCACTGCCATGGCGCATCCTCCCCTCCCTATGCCTCGCAATGGCCTCACCTGCGTCGGCTGTGCTCGAGCGATGCGCCTCAGGGCAAATCTGACCACGACGAGTGTTGGGCCTATGGAAGAAGCTAGGCAAAGCTTTTTTCAGCTTTGGCTTCCTCTTCCCGACCCTCTTAGCGCCATTTATGGAGCTTCACCCTCGGTCAGTGTTATCCTAAACGCTAAACGGTAAACAGTCCGTCACCTACTGTTTAGCCCATTATTTGGGTAAACGGGTGTTTAAACGGGAAAACAGCCGTTTAAACGGTCAAAACAACCGATTAAACGGAAATGGTGTACCACCGTGTAGCGTTTAAACGGTGTGTAAACGGGTTAAACGACCATTTAGACGAACAGTGCCCTCGGTGCACCTCGACAGGGGTGCGTTTGGCCGCCAAAGCTGCAAAACAGCTCCCGAAGGTGGCCTTAGAGCCATGCCAAATAGCCCCTTCGTTTGGAACCACCCACTCGCAGCCTGTGAAACACATGGGCTCGGGTGTTTGTTTCCACATGGATAAAGTTTAGCCCCGTCACATCGAATCTTTGATACCAATAAGAAGTATTAAACATAGGCAAATTGCAAAACTAACTACACAGATTAAGATTAATTTGCAAGACAAATCTATTAAGCCTAATTAGTTTATAATCTAACAATGTGGTGCTACAGTAAATATTTGCTAATAATGATAGATTAATTAGGCTTAATAGATTTATCTCGCTAAATAATCTACTCCTGTACAATTAATTTTAAAATTAACTCATGTTTAGTCCTTCTAATTAGCATCCGAATGTCCGATATGACACGGACTAAATTTTAGTCCCTGGATCCGAACACCAACAGTGCACTGCACCCGACGCCTCGTCGTCTGAGCGGCTCTCACTGCCTAAGCCTAAGGGCGTGTTTTTTTATCTCTAACTTAAGGGCACGATTGTTTCATGATCCTCTCAGTCTATCCGTGCGGAGCCATAGGATCCTCCCCGAGCAATATGTTTTGTTAGTTGCACGAGCTAAAAACCTAGACGAATGTATATAATTGTGTGGGCTGATGCAAACTGGTGGTATACGTTTGTATCGAGCTTGCCTGATTCAACGGATACAAGATGAGAGTGATAGATGTTAAAATATAATATGGGCTTGACCTAATAAGAAATTCTAAAAATTTCAATAAAATCTTAGCTTTGCAATCGGCTTTCAAGATTTGGTTTATATATGTCAGCCTAGTCATGGAGTAATCCTTGATATCAATTAACTTTTTCCAATGGGTCGGCCAACATAAAACCTTAGCCTAACTTATTGAGCTCATCAAAATCATCAATAACTTCACATGGGTTGCTTTACTTACTTTATATTCAGTTTATACTTGGTCCAAGATGAGATACAAAATCTATAATTATTTTAGGTTTAAAGTTCCTGGAACAAGATTGAAAAATATTGCGGCTATCGATGTTGGTTTTATGATAAGTTCTAGAGCATCTGGCAAGAAAAGGGGTTGTAAAGGTGTGGCCGAATGGATTGATGTCAAATCTGATCCATTTGTTTGTCTTGTCGACTAAAGAAATCAAAGTACACCTTTGACTTTACCTTTTGTGATCATGTCTTTGATTTTTTGCTGAAGAATAATTTTATTAAAATCATTGATCACAAAGCTTTGCCATCACCTCAAAACTTAGATGAGCTTACATATTACAGGTGGCATAATTCATTTGATCATAATACTTCTAACGGCAGTATGTTTAGTCGAGTGATCCAATCGGCCATTGATAAAGAACAGTTGAGATTTTCTGAAGCTCAACAAAACGACCAATTGGATTCAATTGGTCTTGATGGCAAACAAATTTGGAATCGGCTAGCATCAGCCAATTCATCAAAATACCGAAGCTTAAATATCAAAGAGAGAGATATGGAGCCCTTAAGTGAAGACAAAGTCATTGTCCATGAACTGCAAATTGGAGATACTCTATAGGACATCGAGGTGATTAGAAATCCAGAAGACACTGGGGGCATGCGAGATCTCTCCAACCGAAGCAAAGGCTGATTGATCCCGTTGGATAGGGGGAATCGGCTAAGCCAGCTTTGAGAACCAGCCTGGCCGGTTTTGGCCAAAAAAATAATCACCTTGTGCAAACTGCTCCAAGTCATTCCGAAAAGATGGATAATCAATCATCAGTGGTTGGAGAACCATCACAATCTACATGTGACCGATTGAGCTCTTGCTAATCAGGTCCAGAGGAGCAGCAGCCAAAATCGGCTAAGATGGTTTCTAGAAATTGGCTAAGCCGGTTTCCCCAGAATTAGAAGGATCCTCCTTTGAAGCATGTCTATCAAGACAAGGAGAAGAAGGCGTATGCCCACAGAGCTGATGGAGGTAAAGACCATGACAAGCACCAGAGTAAAACACTAAAGCTTAGTTTCGATGAACTTCTGGCCAAATACAAGAAGGAAGCAGAATTGAATGTCACTAATCGGCTAAAAAAGGTCCAATCATCAAAATTGCCTCCAAAGCATAAGTCTCGGGAGTGGAATTGATAAGGGAGAATATCTCATGCAGCAGCAACATATTCTCCTTTTGAGAAAAAGCCAATTCCTATGTCATATGGACCACAACCTATAGGTTTTCATCCTTATTCATCTTGGGGTTGGTTTGATTAAGAGGCACATGTGCTACCAAGACCGTTTTGATCAAAATAGGTCCGGAGCGCAACTAGAGAAGAAAGTAGTAAAACAAGTTTATCATATGAAGAATGATAGCCGCAAATACAAAATTTTAGATCTGAATTCAACTTGAAAAGACGATTACATTATTGAAAAATCCGGCTAGTGATGGCAAAAAAGTTAGAAAATTGTATATTGATATTTTAGGTGCCGAATCTGAACAAAAGAAGATGAGAGTGCCCAAATTCAAGAAAGAATTGTCATTGTCCAAAACAGAAATAAAACCGAGATGCTCACTCGGCTTACCAAAGTGGCAAGAAGATAAGTTGTAGAAGCTTAGTGCAGAAAAGCTTAAAGAAAAGGGCTTGGGGTAGGTTCCTAAAAGGAGTGTTCAAGCTCAGAAGGATGATGCTCAAGCAAGTGGTGCAACGAAGGCAAAGGAGAGAAGAAGATTTAAGAAACGATTGCTAAGTTGAAGGTTTGCACTAAATCATCAAAATTATTGGTCATGGCATCATCCATATTATCCACCTACACCTATGTCGTGGAACTCATCCCCTGGTATGTTTGGTTATCCCTCAACTCCTTATTTTGATCCTTGGTGTGTTTCTTCGTTTTACGGAGGGATGCCAAGTTGTTTTGCTTATCGATAACTGTCTAATCAAGAGCCAAAATATCTTATTTCGGCTATACATACTCTTGTGGATGAATTCATATGGCCTATACTTTGCTCCCACATGATTTGAGCGTAAAACCGTATTCCTTAGGTCCTTTTACCTATATCCTTTATTTTTATTTGTAAAAAAATTGTTATGAACCCTACATCAAGAATGACATGGTAGTGTTTCTCTTGCATTAATTTGCCCTTCTACTTCGGTTGCTCTTTTTCATATGCCTGCTTCTGAAAATTGGAAAAGTTTTTTTTTGTCAGAACTAATATGTTAATATTACATTAGACCTTTGATTGTTAATTTGGTTTCTCATTTTCGCTTCTTTAGTTAAATTACTAGCCATTCAATTGATAGCTCAAAGCCTCAAACAATGTCATATTTGTTCCTTTATTTCCTTACATATGGTAACAAAGAATTGAAGTGGTTTGTGCTACTAAATACTAACCGCATTATATTAGTTGATTGTTGTTGTGGTTCATTCCCCCCCAGTGAGTGTTAGTACATTATATATTACTGCACTAGATAGATGATAAAATATGAGAATTCCTGTATTATGTGGCACATGGATAGTTATTTGGATAATTGGATTGGATGCTTGCCCTCTAAATACTATGGGTCTTTTTTGAATATATATTTCACTTTAATCAGTTACTCGAACCATACTTCAGGCTCAAATTCTTCGGTGTTTCCTTTTATGCAGGTTGAACTGAATCAGCCACTACACCTGGTGAAAGACATATCCTGATTTTCCAAAGATCTTGATCTAAGGTTGATGTTACAAGAAGGATCCTAAACCTAACTAACAATAGGCAATGACGGTTGTAATAGACCATTTTCTAATCTTTCAAAGATCTTGATCTAAGGTTGACAGAAATATATGATGGCTGCAGTGACCATACAAACATACTATATAAGGATGCTTCAAATTTTTTGATATATATCTATTGATGTGATATATTGATATCCTTAATTTTATGTGC